ATGTGTATAAGAGACAGAGGGTGGGTTGTGCTACAGTGTTGATTAAGACAAATTTGATCCAATTTGAGTTCCTCATCAGTTACAAGCCCAAAATGCAACTGGGGTTTTCTAATATAAATGGATGAGTATTTGCTACCCAAATTTCAGGGCCTCTTATATGAATGAGATCCTTGCTTTAAATTGCTACAGCATGACACCAACCCTGAAAACCATTTGAGGTACCAGAGCTAAGAGCCAAACTGCTCACAGATATTATGGGCACATCTGCACCAGTATCTAAAATGCCTGTCAGATCAACAGATTTTTTTGCTTTAACGAGAGTACATTTTATCAGAAGTTAACCTTGTGTCACGTTTAAGTCAAAAAATATTTAAGGAGCACCTGCTGAACCAAATCCTGAGTAATTGCCACTTCTTGGCATAACATTAAAGGGAGCCGCAGTAAAATTAACAAGCTGAACAATTCTTTGATCCTTTTGTTACTGAGCACAGGGGTACAGACCATAATTCTGATTTTTTCTCTTCATAATCAGCATCTACGACCCCTGGTAAAACAAACAACCCCTGTAAGGTTGCAGATATTTTTTTTTATTTTTTCTATTTTTTTTTTCTTTTAAACAATATTTCCATTAGGCAGATGGTTCAGAGGTGCACTCTCCCCGCAGAGTATGCACCTAAATTCAGAACAACAATCAACACAGAATTACTGCCTCCCGTTAGAGGAGGTATTTTACCTGTAACAGAACACTGCGCCCAAACCAACCGCAGCACCGATGACCCAGCGGGCGGGCACTAGGACCCTGTAGTTCCTTGTCGGCCGCTCCACTGGCCGGAGAACTCCACAGCTGCAGTGGGCCATGTCTCACACACACACACACGCAATCACACAACTACACAAACACACAAAGGAGCTCCTGACACTTATTACTCACAACATAAAATGACAAATATTACCAATACTGTTAAGAACATATAAAGCCTGTGCTGCATAAGCCTGCCGCTTCTGGTGGAGGGGGTGGTGCCGAGAGCGCAGTGCCAGGCTCAGCCGCAGGCGGCCGCTTCATGGCGGGGGGGCTTGGGGAGGCCCCGGGCCACCACCGCCAGCTCTGAATGTTGAGCATAGAGATCTACACCTCGGTTTTCCAGGTAGAGTGCTGTGCGGGCGTTAGTGCAGCTTTTTCTTAAAAGTGTTAGCCAATTTTTATGGGGCCAGTCGATATCCCTGAGCCATCACCTCCAGTACAGCTGTTGTAGTCTGAGTTTCTGCAGTCTGTTCTTATTAATGCTTTTCTCTAAATCTTTAATAACAAAAAATGCTGTTCTTCCCAACGCGGCTGATGACTCGGCTCATAGCTTACAGGAGTAAGAATTTTTCTTGTCGTGTCCATATTCCCTTGCGCCAAAGTTCTTTCACCTCACTTTTACTTTTTTCCGCCTCACTTCTATCTACGGATCATCCCCAATTAAGGGAGGACACAGACCAGACAGTCCAGATTCTTTTTCAGGATTTACAGCATCAGGGTCTAAAAGATTATCACACCATTCTGCCTCTTCAAACAATAAATTTGGCTCTTTAAAGTGTCCCTTAGCCTTGCCCAGACCAATCAGCACGGCTAAGTTTTTTATCGGACTTACTCCCTGCTTTTCTAAAAAGCAAAAAATCTGAGGACTACCTCTCATTCAAATATTCCTGCCCGGGCAAATTCCTCAAATTCCTGGTGCTGCTGAATGACCTTCCTTAAAGTCCGATCAAGTAGCCAACAACCGGTGAAGGCTGTTCCTGGGTATAATCCTTTTCAGCCTGTGGCCTTTCCAGGGTCGGACCCCCAATGCGGCCAATTCTGGGGTAGCCCTCTTCAGATCGCCAAAATCCCCTGAAGCCGGACCAGCTGCGCTATGTCAGACTTACGAATCCCGACGCTTTAGGAGACGGCACACATCTCCTGCCGTACTGCCGTCAACAATGTCCTTATCGCCTTCCAGCTCCGAATTTTTCCATTCCACCGCTTCCCGGGTTCCGTCTGATGAAAAAGCAGAGTCTGGGTAACCCTGTCCGGTGCGCCACTTGCGGCGGGCAGAGGAAGCAAGCAGTCGATTCAATGTGAATGATAGAGCAAGCTTCAACTTTATTGAAAGAAATCACACCTTATATAAGCACTCTACAATACATTACTTGCAACTCTATTGGATAGATTTAAGAAACTACATTATAATATCTCAGCCATTGGGTACATCTAAAAGGTCACATTATAATACACCAGCCCCTTGTGGCATTTCTGGTATGCATAAACATCCTTCTTGCTGTGAACCTGCTTCTCTCCCAGGGCTGCCTTACTCTCACCCCCAAGGTCATAATGTGCCCCAACTTATCTCACAACAGTCCTTGTTATCATCAATGTACGCTGGGTTTTTTCCTCTCTTTACCTCAGGTGGCTGTGACCGACTTCTGCATGGAGCTATGGCCGACCAGCTCCTGCAGGGAGCTATGGCCTTGCTCTCTGCAAGCCGTTCTCCAACAGTAAGACGCAAGGCTTTGAAGCTAATGTAACTACTGCATTTAGTGTGACTGTGTGGCAGAGAATAGGCGAAAAGCTATGCGATGAAGTTTCATAAGGACAGAAAGAGGCGTGTGAGCTAGCAACTACATGGTGCGTGCTAACTGAGACTCTGAAGGAGTGGAAAAAAGAACATGACGCTGAAGAAAGAATCCATTCCTGCCTCTAGTTCATTTGGTCCTGGGCTCAGTTATGGTGATCCCACACTGTCTGCAGTGGCGGGATGAAAACCATTGAAAGGAAAAAGCAGGGGGCATTCTCGTCCACCTCCACCTCCCCCTTTGCCGATACAGGAAGACCCTGGAGGGGCTTTTCCCTCGCAGGATTCTGATACGCCAAACGTAACACCATCAGCTCCTTCAGAGGATCCAGCAGTATGTAAGTGAGTCTGACAGAGACTCTGAGGGTGGTGAACCCGACACTAAAGATCTTACTGACAATTTCTGAGCATTGAATCTGGCTGATAAACAGACAGAACAAAAAGCTACGCCATGTACGCTCCCTCCATCCACTGTGACTGTCCTCCCCAGGTCCCCGGAGCAGTTTTGGGAGGGTAAGAGTGATAATGAGAGTGATGAAGAAGGAGAATTAAGTGCTGCTATGCAAACTTTGCACCGTTCTGATAAACCTACATCAAAAAGAGTGGGGGGAGCCCATCCTAAACATAGACCACAGTTCAGGGCGGGGGATTGTATGAGGACTCTGATGAGGAAGCACAAGATGAGTTGTTTCCTCCACAAAGACCGAATGAGCAGAAAGCCCCTCAGGCAGTGCCCCCTCCACCTCCCATCGTGGAGCCCTCTGTTCCACCAGCTCCCTCTGATGGGAAAAAAGCCCTGTGCACTTTGTTTATCTGGTGCAAAAGGAA